GAATTAGTGCGGTGCCTGGAACGCCTTCCCTATGCTGAAGATAATTCCGCACATCAATCATCATCATCAGTAAAATTAAAAACGAACAAAACTGTCCCACAATGTACAGGTGATAGGACAGCCATGTGACATGTGCTAGAAGCATAACACATAAAAATGTTTTACTTACATCATATAACTGTTGATGTCAGAAATGAAGACCTGAGTCACCTTAGTTGACATCAACCACTGATATTACACCATTTAAGGCCAACGTATCATGAATCTACTCCAATGCTACACCGAAAGCAATACTACGTCCCCTAAAAGACTGAATGCATTGCCATGCATTTCACAGCATACTAACTGGAAGACATTTGCTTAAAGACACCAAAATGAAATGCATGAATGAAAAATGACTGAAAGAACACATGAAAATGAATAAGACAAAAAAATGGTCACAGAAATTCCACATGTGTTCTCATGGTAACTAAGTTCAAGCTTAAATGCCAAGGCTGAATAAGAAGGGTCTGGCAAAACATAAATAAAGAAAACCCAGTCGTCCACAAACCTACAGAGATGGCACAGGATTGGCCCTCAGCCTTTACCTTTTGGCTGCTGGGGCAAGTTTCCGATGAAAAATGTGCCTCGCGCACTCCATACCCAAGTGCCACAACAGTGATGCCACATGCATCAAGCCACTCCTGTAGTTGGCCTTGTGGAACTGCGAATCTGAAAGGATTACTATAATTAGGAAATTGGATTGCTATGCAATAGAATGAACGTATTCTACGTCAAATGAGTAATGCAAACTGAAAATATCTGCCCACAGGTTGTGCTTTAATAGTTGTGCTAAGTGCCGACTCATCAGGAGTACAGACTACAGACAACATCTAGGTCGCCAAACATGCATGACAAATGTTGAAATGCTTGCCATCCCAAAAATAAGCGATGCAAGATGAGGACATGCACCCATGAACTCTGCGAGCTGTGAGCATGGTACGTGACTGTCACCAACTTTAATAAATGGTGAGCAAATTTAGTGTTTTGAAATAGTGGCAGCAGCATCTCATCAGTCATGCCATTGCAGCAATATGACGGCTGGGCGCTCAGCTCAGTGCAAATCTGATTAGAGCACATAAAGTGCAGTGATTGGTTACGCACACTGGTGATATCTGCAATCTGGAACAATGGAGTAATTTTTTAGACTGGTATCCTGGTCCTAGCCTGACTGGCAAAATTGGGATTCAATTACATGTCTGTTTATGCAGGTGGTTATATGAAACAGCCCGGGTGTAGCTCCATGAACTTGGTGAGAAAGGTAGGAGATTGGAGCAGGCAAAAATATTTGAACTTACTAAAAAATGTCAAAACAAAGTTACTCACACATTTCACACACAACATGGGTATGAAATATGTCAGGTGTAGGTGTTTGTCATCGCTCACATTGGGCTGTGTAGTGGCAGTGTTGTTATACCTGTCTACTCACTCTGAAAAACTGTATTCGGGGTCACATTGCGGCGGGACCACCCCACACACAGCGGCGAACTGCCGCACGTAACGCCGACAGAGAGACTCCCTCTACGCGCCCCGAGCAGCACCTCTTATACTCCTTTCGAGCCCACCCGCAACACGATCGGCGTGCGACTCGCCGGCGCCACCGCGTTGCACCCCACCGCGTCCACAGGCTAACGCATCGCCCTGAGCCGTGGTCGCTTCCCTGCGCTAACCCTGTCCTGGGGCGTCATCTATTGCCACATATGGTCCACCGCCACAAAAACCCTTCAACTTTGCCACACCCACCATCAACATTTGTGTGCCAAACCTGTTCCTACGTGCCATACTTGGACCTAGTCGATTGCTCTCAAAATTAACGTGGTGTATCTTTTTTGTTGTAACAGTTAAGTACATAAGTAAAGTCGCTTCTGAAATTGGTTGCAGCCGTAAGCCCCGCCCCTACCACTTCCACCCGCTGTTCGGCTGCCGAACGCACCTGCTTTTTAATGACTGTTTTTGTAAGGCATTTTTGCCGGACATTGCTATAAGTGCACGCTCATTCCTCAAACTGTGACAAAAATTGAAATTGATCGCTCACCATACTCGAAACTGCATGCGATATTGAGACGTGCATACCCTGAATTTGTTGCTGCGATGTCGGTGATACGCCAGACATATTCGGCGTCAAATGTTTTTAACAGATTGGGAACAAAGTACTTACGCGAACACAGTCAAATAATTATCCAATGTTCTGCGATCACCGCACACACAATACTCTGTTGGGCACCTCGCACCTAAAAATGCTCCGTCGACGAGTGCCGCACAACCCGAAAGTGCTCATGTTTACGTTCGCGACACGCATTCAGTAGCAAATTTTTTTTAAACAGCTTATCATCTTCCGCGGATTGTACCACATGTGCAGCATCATCACCTACGCGAATGTATCAGCGCCCATGCCGTTTTCACCACAAAAAAACAGCCTGTAATATCACGGCGACCTAATAACGTTTGTATGGCGTCATTCATCAGAAGGCGGTTTTGAAAAAGGCTCCAAATAAACCTTTTCGTACTTTTGCGGACGTGTAATTCAGGAACCAGAGCGTTTTGGGTCTTGAAAAGGACATGTCCGTGAACTGCATCAAAAGGTCCTCAATGTGGCTATTTCAGTTCAAAACCTCATGCAAAGGTGGAACATTCCTTTTCAGGAATGACGCCCTTTCTCCAAAGATCAGCAGCCCAAATGCTTGGAGCAATGCTCTGTTCCGTAAAAGTATCCATTAATTTGTCAGTCCAAGTTTGCTTGTCAGCGCGGATGGCGTCGCCAGATTTACATGCACTGCATACCGCGCTGGCTGAGACAGGGTCGAGGTTCGCACCGCTCCATACCACACTGGCTGAGGCAAAGTCGAGGCTCGCCACGATCCCATACCACGATGGCTGAGGCAAGGTCGAGGCTCGCCACGATCCTATACCGCGATGGCTGAGGCAAGGTCGAGGCTCGCCACGATCCCATACCACACTGGCTGAGGCAAGGTCGAGGCTCGCCACGGACCCATACCACACTGGCTGAGGCAGGGTCGAGGCTCGCCACGGACCCATACCACACTGGCTGAGGCAAGGTCGAGGATCGCCATGATCCCATACCACACTGGCTGAGGCAAGGTCGAGGATCGCCACGATCCCATACCACGATGGCTGAGGCAAGGTCGAGGATCACCGCGATCCTATACCGCGATCCCATACCGCGGTCGCGAGGCGGGGTCGAGATGTGCCCCCAACCCCCTGATCCGCGTCATTTCGGCCATTTGCGTAGGAACCTGTGCGCCATAACTAATGTCGCATTGAAAAAAGAGATATTGGGCACATGGTTGGCAACTGGTGCTGGCCTCCTTGCTCGCTATCGGAGATCCTGTAAAACTATCATTGTTAGGTTTGCAAATGGGCAGATCAGGCGATAACAATATGCTTCGAGTCTGCTCTCGATGCAATCAGTGGGATATATTTATATTTTTAGATCCGGGGAGGGAGACAGAACCCTGCCACGAATTCAGGCATCCAAAAATCGCACCGCAAGAGGCATAAAGCCACCGTATTTACACTGTCAAAGGGCCAATGAATGTTTTTGTTGTGAAACCACATTTTCTTTGGTTTGTCAATGGACTGTTGTTTTTTTCTTGGATATGAAGGTTCTCGTATCGCTCATATTAGGCAGAATCATTTTGGTGTCACGCGAGTTCATGTTATCAAAGATTCTTTAACTGCACAAAAGAAGGACAAAGTGCTTGTCATAATAATCTGATCTCCCTTCTCCAGTCAGTGTGTTTGCGCCACGTCCGACAGTGGCTGAGGCGGTGGTGCGAACAACACGGATTAAGTGATAAGAGCTGTTTGTATAGAAGATTATCAGTTTTCGAAGGCCAACTGTCGCATCGTCGGTCACTCACGGCGCTGGGAAGGCTTCACTCAGGTAGAGATGACGGTGTTGCCAGGATCACTGCCAGGCACTCCAGAGCAGTTCAGCATTACGTTCCACATAACGGGCATTGAGTGGGCCTTGCATTATGCCGCGAAAACAACTCGTGGGGAACCAGGCATTCTCCTCCACCTCCGATTCGAGGCTCGTTCGCCTACTCCGGTGGGGCCACGTAGCGTCCAGCGCTCGAGGGAAAGGTGCAGTATGGATACGAGTGTAGTCACAGCTCTGAAGTTGGGAAAAACCAATCAGGATATGGTAAAACTGCAATTTGGATGGCTGTCTGACTTCATGATTTTTGAGTGGAAGGGGATGAAAACACACCGCAAGAACTGGAGGAAACAAAATCCCAGTTTTGCCAAATTGAAGGGATCATGCTTCCGTCAGCACATCCCCATGGGTGTAAAGGTTCAAAATAACGCTATCAGCCACTGCCTCGTGGTTCTGGCCAGTGACATCTCGCCACTGATTTTTATTAGGCGTGGAGCGAGTTCACCGCACAGTACAGCAGCCGCTTATTGTTTTCTTTCCACAAACAATGGGCTTACTTGTCACGAGTGCACAAACTGCGGTGTCTGAAAAACTATTTGTTTTACTACATTCCAAGCCATTCTAGCCCACTTTCCGTCGCATTCTTTGCTGACTCCAGCACCAGCGGCGCAGGAAGTGGGAGGGGCACAGCAGGAACGTGCCCCTCCCCCTTATGTTCCAAGCCGCCCGGAGGTTAAACTCACGGGCCTCAGGGCCGGGCACTTCATTCGCAGGGCCGGACACTTCATTCACAGGGCCAGGCACTTCATTCGCAGGGCCGGGCACTTCATTCACAGGGCCGGGCACTTCATTCGCAGGGCCGGGCACTTCATTCACAGGGCCGGGCACTTCATTCACAGGGCCGGGCACTTCATTCGCAGGGCCGGACACTTCATTCACAGGGCCGGGCACTTCATTCACAGGGCCGGGCACTTCATTCGCAGGGCCGGACACTTCATTCACAGGGCCGGGCACTTCATTCACAGGGCCGGGCACTTCATTCACAGGGCCGGGCACTTCATTCGCAGGGCCGGACATTTCATTCACAGGGCCGGGCACTTCATTCACAGGGCCGGGCACTTCATTCGCAGGGCCGGGCACTTCATTCGCAGGGCCGGACACTCCAAAGCCAACCAGAGGGCACTTTGCGCCCAACTGGGTCCCTTGAGTCGACAAGAGCACATATGTCGGTTAGACATCACCAGTACCGCACGATCCGCTCCATGTCGGCATGGGCCTGTGGACCTTTTACCAAGTTGGAACAAAGCCAAGGCAAGCGATTTATCTTGTTCGGGGCCGCAGCGTCTGTCAAGAGCCCACGGTGCCTAACAGGAGGCACTGTGCTGGCAAGGGACCCCGAGTCGGCCAGAGACAGTATTCGTGGAGCGCATAATACCATAAGGGCACGAGGTGTTTGTCAGTGTCTTATTCAGTGGCCTCGGCCTGCGGAGTCTAGCCCCCAAATAACAGGGGGACTGTTGCGCCGATCGGGGACCCCTGACTCGAAAAGGACCTTGACGTCGACCAGAGACCACTAACAGCAGTTGACTCCGTATCGGTCTGAGCCCTGAGGCCCATTTCTCTTGCGGAAGCAAGGCCGAGCCCTACCATTTGCCTTGATTTGGGTCCCCGAAGCCCTTGTCGGGGCCCTGTGTCAGTCAGGAGCCCCAGTACCGAACGATAAGGTGTCCAGCCCATTCCAGCCAGTGCCAGCTGAGCCGAACTGGGGTTTATTCTCAGTGGCATTCTTAAAATTGCAAAGGTAAAAGACGACTGAAATGCCTTCTTAAATGCACAAGTCGATGTCCTAAAGCGTCCAAAGGCACTTCTTTCAGATGCGTCCTCAGTTTTGTTTGCCCGTTGGTCACGACTTAGCTGCGGGGCCAATGCCGCGCAGCCAGCAGAGGGTATAACGCAGTGAGTCGAAGTTTTTGTTGCTAAGATTTTTGACTATGCATTCTCAAATCCACGTGAAATAAATTTTCTCACTTCTTACACATGACCCGATGTGGACCAATTTCAGACGAACATGGGTTGGTCATGTAAGTACACGTTTTTGACGCAATTTTGATCAACCGTACGTTCACGGGGTTCTCAATATCTGTATAGGACCCAGATCAAACTTCTGGTGAAGCTTCTGAATGCCATCGGTTCAAAGGGAGTCCACCAAACCACAGCAAAACAAAGAGCGCCGGCGACCTTTTCTATGCTGACTGCTGACACCTGACTGCTTCGGTTTTGCCTTTTAAATTCGAACAGAGCTGATCTCGCCGTAGCTTCTGGCTTCTGCTCGAGTTAATAAAGAAAAAAATTACAAATCACAAAGAAAGCCCATCATTAAGAACTGGGAAATATCTGGTGATTCTTTTTGGGGGGTCTTTCACCCTAAAGGGGCCCTTGGTCGACTTCATGTCCTTCACCCTGGCTGTGCCTCCGTCCAGCATTAACTACCTTAAGGTCCCCTTGGCCAGCTCCTTGAGCGCGCTATTCGCCTTGCGCAGCCGAGCGGCCATCTTTCTGCGCAGCTTGGCGATGGGTACATCGCCGCAGCCAGCCTTCATGATGACGCGCGTGTTCCTACCGGCATCGGCCAGCGCGTGGCTGTGAGGACAGCGGTCATCTTTGCAAGTGCCCACGAGGAAACCGACGCACACGTGGAGCTCATCGCATGAGCTCTTCAGGCATCTGTTATAAACGTAGTCGAAGCAGATGGGTGGCAGGCCGGCCGCCCCCACGGCGGCGCAGTGGCCACGCACGGTCAGCCAGCGGAGAACCTGGTCATATTCGTCCTGTCGCCAGCCGAGTTGCCCTCAGTATCGCGTCGTTGTGTGTCGTACGCAGCGTGTGCGGCCGCCCACACCCGCCCAGCACGAACTGGCCCGCCACAAAGTCGGGGCACACGTGCAGGTGGCCGCACGGATTCCGCGGACATCCGCCCTTGGTGGTGAACTCGACACAGACCTCCGGCAGGCTCTGCGACCGCTTCTCCCACGGCAAGTCGTACAGCACCTCGGGCGGCACCGACGTCTGGCTGGGTGGCTTTGTTGCCATCAGTGAGGGTATTACCCCCAACGTGGGCTTGTCAATAGTTGGCATGCGTAGTTCTCCCTTGCGCTCCGGAAGTTCTGTGGTTTGGAGGTGTCGCTTTTCTTTTTTCTCCCCTTCTTCCTTCTTATTTTCGACTTCCTTGTGCTTCTGCTGATTCTCGTAATGTGGCGCATGTGGCACGTTCTCATAATGGTCTCCCCTTGGCCAGCTCCTTGAGCGCGTGTCGTACACCTCAGGCGGCGCCGACGTCTGGGCGCGCGAGCTGCAGTTGGACGGCGGCCAGGACCTCGGCGACGGCTGGGAACGGACGAAATCCGACGCTCTCCCCTCGTCGTCGGTGAAGTCGTCGCTAAACTCTTTGTACGGATCGCCGTCTGTCGACATGGATGGTCCCGTCGGAGACATCGGTGCTGCCCCCGGCGGGAATGGTGGCAATACCTTGCACAGCGGTGGCTGCATGCTCTGCACGGGTAACGGCATCGCTTGGCTGGGTGACTTTGTTACCATCAGTGAGGGTTTTACCCCCAACGTGGGCTTGTCAATAGTTGGCATGCGTAGTTCTCCCTTGCGCTCCGGAAGTTCTGTGGTTTGGAGGTGTCGCTTTTCTTTTTTCTTCCCTTCTTCCTTCTTATTTTCGACTTCCTTGTGCTTCTGCTGATTCTCGTAATGTGGCACATGTGGCACGTTCGCATAATGGTATCTATTATCTACAGCCTCGTGTGGCCCCCAACCAGCCATACTGTATGAATTTAGATGCCTTTCCGTTATCGATATCCATTCATGACAATATTTTCGCCCAGGCATGGCCAGTTGCCGCACTGCTTTAAACTCCGTTTATCGTTTGTCCATCACGTTCAACAGTACTCAAGAGTTTCATTTTTCAAGCTTGCACCGACGCTGCCTCAGTTGGCTTCGTTGTCCGTGATTTAGGTCACGCCTCCTCCAGTTCCTGCACTATTGTCCGCTCTTGATCCTCGTCGGTAGCTGGTGTTCCAGTGTCAGAGTAGCGCTGGAATACATACAGGAAATGTTAGCGGCCTTCATGTAGATTTCCAGCCAGTGCGTAACCGTAAAAGCGATTTTATTTAGCCTTAGAACTTCGAACACTACGCCAGCTGTAATGCCGTACACCCAGCAGAATAACGTATGTCGCGGCATATTTTTTTCTAGTATTTTGAGCTTCGATTTATGCCCTTTCTTAAGATAAGCCGAGGTGCAAAGTGTTCTGATTGATGCTGAGCCTCGCAGCTTATCCAGTCTTTCCACAGGTGGACAATGTATGCCTAAGGTTGGTCTCCAGCTAGCCGGCCAGCTGGCTGGCCACCGCTCCATCGGCTGGCCGTGTAAGGTGGCTTGCCGTCGCGTTGGCCAACCATACCTCGTGGTCGGCCATGGGTACGTCGAGAGGCCAACTGCCGGCCGTCGGGAAGCTGGCGGAGCTGTTGAAAAATATGGCAGTCGAACTGTTGAAAAATACCGCCCTAGGGAAGCTGGGGGAGCTGTCGAAAAACATGACAGTCGAACTGTTGAAAAATACCGCCGTAGGGAAGCTGGGGGAGCTGTTGAAAAATATGACAGTGCACGTGTTGAAAAATATCGCCGTAGGGAAGCTGTGGGAGCTGTTGAAAAATGTGCGCAAGTATTCGAACAATGTACATTTGAATGCACACAAACCCACTCTGAATCACAGTCGCTCAATGGCTTGCAGTCTTTTTTTGTAACCGTGTAGCTGCTTACTAACTTGCGTGTGATCGAAGCTCGGATACAGGCATACGTAAGCTTCCCATCTACCGGAAAATCAGCAAATGGATGAAATGGTGACTAAAGCGGAGAAAACGGAAGCTAAGACCAACTAATATGATGGGTCATTGAAAGGTTACGCTTGTGCGGGCGCGGAGCCAGGGGCTTGGCAAGGGAGGAGCATAGGGCTCACAAAAAGGCCCCCTTTTAGTGACAGGACCTCCTAAAATCGTCGAATATGGCCAATTTGTTAATGAGGGTTTATTTCTATGTTTTTCGTTAATACCTTTTACGACCGGAATAGAAGCCAGAAGCCACCGTGAAATCACTTCTGCCTGAATCTTATGTTCAATCAATCAAAAAATCAGTTGTTAAACGACTGCATGAAATAAATCCCCGGCGTTTTCCTTTTACCGTGGTCCACTGGAATCTTTCTAAATCGAGAGAAATCAGAAGCTTTGTTAGAAGTATTTTTTGCGTGTACAGAGGTAGTAAGCGCCCGTGACTGTCGGTCGAAATGATTCAGCAATTTGTGTTGGCATACCCAAGCAATGATTATTTCAAACATTCAACGTTCGGTAAGAATTAATTTGTGATACAAAACATGCAACGTAGTTTCGAGCACGCGCGAAGGCAAATGCTAACAATAAAAACTTCGATGCCAGACGTTGCAATCTCCGTAGGCCGGGCAATGTCGGTCCTGTGGCTAACACTAAATCGTGGCCAACGGATGGACGAAAATAATGATGCATTTGGAATAAATACTTTTCAAAGCTGTAGGACATCAAGCCGTACATTTAGGAGGCATCTGGGCGCATATTTCATCTGTGTGATTTTTAATCAATGAATTGGAAGCATGCGCCTTTACAGCGCCGCGAAGAAGTGCTGGAATCTGATGGTAGAACTAGAGCAGAAAAAGATGGAATCACCTTTTGCTGCTGTGGCTGTTTATCTGTCCAGAAAACAACCTCAAAATTAGAAAAAAGATGAACGCAGCCTATTCTTTGAAAGATACGAATTACTTTTTTTAGACATTCTGAAGCATCATTCCACGGCTGTCGCTTTCGCGCGCACGGCACCCGCCACCTGGTGTTGCTTGCGGTGGCCAACCCCATTCGGTTTCACGGAAACTGCAACCCAAGGCATCGCTGTCCTTGGTCACGAGATTGCGAACACGCAAGCCAAACCTGTTGATTATTTGTTTCATAGGCGATTCTGCAAAAGATTAAGCGTTAACGTTCATTCTTTTGCAAAAAAAAAACTCTCATGTCTGTCTGAGTACTCAGGACCCATCCATGACGGACCTGAGAATTCTAAGGAAAACATGGCTGACCGTGTTTGTTTTCGAACTCATTTTGACCCACTCTTTTCGACACTTATAATGCCGCTTATTTCCGGGGAACGACTCCCGCTTGAGGAGAACACTACAGTGTATATTAGTGTTCTTAGTCAAGGGTGAAGAGCCATTCCGTCCCACCGCGAGGTGTCTTCCGGCTGTCACTCTGCTGACAGGGGGCGGGATCCCCTGGCCGATCTGGAAGCCCTTAGAGGGCTTCCAGATCGCTATAGCATGTGATAGCATGTGATAGCATGGATGGATATGCATAGGATAGCATGGATAACATGCTATGCATGTGATAGCACATGCATAGGGGCGGTCACACAATGGTCCCCTCCCTGACGCTGGCGGCCTTCTGACCCGGGGAAACCGCAGTTGACCCCGGATCGACACAGGACCCATGATTAACGCAACAACATTCCTGCATCCCTTACTGCCGCAGGTTGTCCAATAATTGGCACCCAGACTCCAGTTCGGCTTAACGGGCGCATCCTGGAACTGGGCTGATGGACCCATCGTTCGGTGCTTGGGGCCATGACTGTCACAGAACCCTTACATTGCCTCAATGTGAGTAATTATCACAAGCTCTCATGTTTCCTTTTATTGTCCGGGGGCCCAACCAACGCAAGAGGCTCTTTGTCATACAGTGTCCTGTCCCCGGTCCTGTTAAGCAAATCTTCCCCTGACCGACACGAAGCTCCTTGCTGGCACATTATTTCCTTTAAGGCAGCGTGGGTCCCTGAACGACATAGACGCCCCGCATTGTTGCAGCGCCCGACAAATGTAAATCGCGGGCCGGCCCTGTTCTTGTTTAGGAAATAAGCTCACAGAGCTCAGACCAAGACGGAGCCGCCTGTTTAGTGTTTACGATCTCTAGCCAAAACAGATGAATACTCTGTCGCAGGGGTTCACAATCGGTGTGAGAGGTCTTCGAACTGAAATTTGAGATCAAGGCCCCACGGGCGGAGGTCCTTAATGCGACCTGCATCATCCCTTTGAGCCGTTCAGCCTTTCAATCGGGCCCCTAATCTCAGGTCTCAAGAGACCCTTCGGCCACTCGTCTAGCCCCTCAAACACCGCTACCGGCTGACTCGGGCCACTTGACGCCACAAGACTCCTGTTGCGTACTGTGACCCGAGACCGACACACGAGCTTCTCATTTTGTCAGAGATCCTGAACATTGCTAATCGTGGGCCTCGGTGTCGTTCCTGCTTGGGAAATGGGTCTTAAGGGCTCAGACGGACATGGAGCCGACTGTTTGGCTCCACGTCGAGGCCCTTTATAATAAGGATGGAGAACCCCGATAAGGGCGTCCTATAGAAGCCCTCCGAATGACACCTTAGGTCACGGCTTTACGAGTTTTGAGGGGGGGGGGGCCAAGTCCAATCGTGCCCTTGATCTTTTGTCCCAAGAGGCTCTCCGACCTCCCTTAAGACCTTCTCAAACAAGGCCCGTGACCGACTAGGGGCCTCTACGGAGACATAACTTCCTTTGATACACTTTGGGCCCCTGACCGACACAGGGGTCCAAACCATTGTTTCAGGGACTCCGACCAATGCAAATGGTCCCCCCCCCCCCTCCCACCTCCGGTCTCGCTCTTGCTTGGAAAGTGTGCTCTCAAGGTTTTCAGGCTGACAGGGGGCCAACTGTTCGGTGTTCGTGGTCTCTGGTCGCCTTAAACACGCGCATTGTCTCAGGGGGGTCCTCTAGCGATGCAAGAGGACCTCTGACTGATATTTCTGGTTACGACGCTACGGGCCACGATTCTTTATGTGACCTACAGCCAGTCCCTCCAGCCCCTATGCCCTCCAACCGGGCCTTTGAAAGTCGTTTCCGTTGTGCCACCTTGGCCCCTCTTCGGGCCTCATCGAGCACTGCCCTTGGTCGGCTCTGGGCCTCTTGTGAGCACAGAACCCTCTGTTAGACGCTGTGAGCCCCTGACAGATACAGGGGCACCAACCAATGAAAATCACTGGCCCGGCTGCGTAGCTGGTTGAGAAGCGGGCCCTCAGGCCCATACCGATACGAAACGGACTATGCGGTATTGGTGGCGCCTGAGCCGACATATACACCCTTATCGACTCAGGATATCCCTGATTGGCGCAAAAAGCGACCTGGCTGTCATTTGTGGGTCCGTCCTTGCAGGCCGGGGCCTCTGAGTACGACTCCGACCAGCCGTTCGTACACCCGGACACTCCAATCGCGCCCAATCATCATCATCATCATCATCATCATCATCATCATCATCATCATCATCATCATCATCATCATCACCATCTTCGGACCCGGTGGGCCCTCCAAGCTCTCCTGACTTCCTTCGACACTGTGTCTGGCCGACTTGAGGCCCCTTGTCAAAACAGGGCCCCTTGTTAGGCGCTGTGGGGCGTTGACAGACGCTGTGGGACCCGACCAATGCAAATCGCTGACTCCGGCTTTATTCCTGCTTCGGAAATGCATCTTATGGCCCATGTCGTCAAGGAGCCGACTGTGCGTTACTGGTGGTGTCACACATAGGCGCATAGCTACTCAGGGGCCCTTGATCAGCACACAAGGCCCTCTGGCTGACATTGGAGTGCAGCCTCTGCGGACCGCAGCTCCTGAATACGACCTCCGGCCGGCCTTTCGGGCCCTTAATTATAGGTCATGATGGGTTCGAAAGTCCCCTCGGAACCCAGGGAAGGATGGGGGGGGGGAGCACGTGCACCCTCTGTCACCCCTTTGCCCGCTCTACTGTGCTTGTGCTCATTTATGATGTCCATTTTGTCAATATAAACTAGTCTTAAGGATAGGGAGATGTTACCAATCAAACCTCTAGCTACATCATCACCAATAAACGGGGGAGAGCTTGTTAGTAAAGCATTCTTCAGAACTTTTCTTGCAGAACTTGTACTTCACATTAATCGAGTCCGTGGACCTATCTAGAACGATACTGAGTACCCAAATCCATTCAGATAAAAAAATCACAAAAAATGTGGTGGTGTTATGCAGCTGAATATTCCACCCACCGGAGAACGGTTGACGTCCGTTTTCACGTAGTTGCAGATGAAATTATGAGGTCAGATTATAACACTACTCTATGTGGAACCGTAACCCCTAACTGCATATTATATACGACGCGAAGCTCGGTGAAATTCCCGGACGTGAACAGCAAAGCATTCCGTGATGCCTCCTAGATCTGTCAGCGATCCCCCAGCACACAACTGCCTCTTACCTCACGACGGAGTGGGCTGACGCTAGTAAGCTCCGCAGAGTTGGCGTACCTCGGCGACACTGGCTGTTGTTCTGGGCCCACCGGGTGGCGCCAGGTCGATAACGTTTATCTCAAGGTCATCGCAGCATACCGAACTTGTTTGTTGCGTTGATGACCTCCCTGCCCTTTGAGACAATTATTCGTTGAACACTCCTCCGCCGTGCTGCACCCCGTCCGTGGCGGAGCCAACTGTCAATAAACAATGTCATGATGGACCAGGGGCATGTTCACAAAACTGGTGCATGATAATTGTATTTAAACGCCACCATTAGTGTGTCACTATCGCACAATGACTCGTACTGCAGCACGATATTTAGACCGAGGCGCATTGCTTTGGCGGGAGGCTTGGACGCGCGCAGTTTAGGCTATGACCGTCTTCGACATTTACGTGCGTTGCTACGTGTGCGGCGTAGTGATGGCTTGCGTTTAGGCAGCTGTGGGGTCGTCTAAATGGTCTCATATCAAGGAGGACTGCGTGGTTGTACGCCTCATTCTGAAAATAGTATGCACGGAGGAGCCGAGCCCACTTACGTTTGAGTGGTCTGCTGGTCAGCCCATGTACCCGGCGATGTCACGACATTTGGTTCGACGCGGGGGGGACTGGCAAACCCGAGCAGGGGGAACACTTTCTGAAATCGGTTGGGGGGGGGGCTGAGCCAATAAAGTTGACCTAACCTATCCCAAAGACCTAATTTATCCCCGTATTTCGGCCACGTTGATTAGCATCCACCTGAGGTACAGAAAGTGATTCGTATTGCGCCGCTTTCAAAATTGTTTTGTATCGAAGAACGACTCCACTTCGAAGTAGATGGAGTAGTGATAATGGTAAGGTATCATGATGATGTTATTGAAAATGATGTTTTTAGGTGCCTGGTGTATCAGCGGTCAGAAGCTTGCTGCATTTCACTGCTCAGCTTTCCTTTTGGTTCACATGCCTTGAGAGAGGGCTCAGAAAAGCATCGAGAGGGAGCTTAATTTCTATATATATATATATATATATATATATATATATATTCTATAATATATATTAAATATACATATATATATATATATATATATATATATATTTCTATAATAACTAATCAGCACTGGAGGCTCAGGCGCCCCCAGTATACAACGTGACAGCTCTGTGAAAGTGACTGCGAAAGTGAAGGTGAAAGGCAGTGAAAGAGTGCCCTGTAGTGTGTAGTGCCCCAAAGTGACAGCCCTGTACCGGGCATCATTGTACATGTGAGTCACAAAAGCTGGAGTGACGTAGGTGGCCGGTCGAAGTGCTGAATGATATGACCAGCCAGGCACCATGCATAGTTCTCGTCTTCCTCTGTAGGTCCTCAACAGTGGCTCCCAACCCCGCCATTTGTTAACAGTGATCGGAACTGAAGCAGGGCGCAAACAGGTCCACACTACCCGATCCGGTTCACTCACTGCTGAAGGACCCCTTGCCCTCACTGACACGCATCCGTGGTTAAGACCGCGTGCGGCCGACGAGCAGCCCGTTTGAAATGTGAGAACCTCTCTGATAAGACGTATGAAACTAGACCTCCCGCTGCTTATTCATTCCACGCTCTGTCATATAAATTTGCAGCACACCCATCCGTGAGCCCGTATTCACCTCATTCATGCCTGATGCACGGGACACGGGCTGGCACCCGCGTCCGTCTCGCACCCCCACACCCGTGTCATCCCACTGTGTGTCCGCCGTGCCATGACTACGTCCATCTATGGAACCGGAGCTAGCAAAAGTCGAGAGAAGATAATGTTGCCAAATGACCGGCCAAACGCACGCATACATCACTTGTTTATAACGACGAAACATGTTCCATTTCAAATGTCTATGTGAACATATTGTACATGCTTCCATTTCAACCACCGCTACCGTGGCTGTGGTTCTGCGGAAATCCGAGACTGACCTTGAAATATCTGACCTTCAGTGCGACTACACCCGATCTGGATGTTTGCGGCCAGGTCTGTGCCTGCTCACCACTTCTTGCTCGGGCT